CTACATTCGCTAGTTTCATCAGTTCAGACATTTACAGCTAAGACCCCCTCCCCACGCCACATACACAGGATTGAACCTTTGTATTCCACTGATAAGTAGGAAGCTTTATTCAGGCAGCTTCTTCTCAAGAGCTGCTGTTTTATGAAACAAACTCCCAAGAGAATACTTCCTCAAACACTACTTTCTTAACCTTTTCAAGTTTATGGTCAACTGTTACTCATCATACATATCCTCATAATCTGCACTTGCTTCCCACTTCTACATCAATACAATGTCATCATTTAGTAATAATCTACCTTGAGTGGCTCTTGAGCCTTCTATTGGGTTAACATTTAATTTTAAAAAAAGCATTAGAAGTTGTCCCTTCTTTAGCTTGGTCATACACTCAAACAACAGTGACAAGTTTTTATTCTACAATATATATATATATATATATATGCCTTAATAAATGTTAAAAGCAAAAAAATTAACAGAAAATTTTACCCAGGGACTTCGTACTCAATCCAGCCTAAAATGGTAATTGCAATGTCTTAAGCTGAGAATGAAGAAACTATATTTTTAAACCAACACAAAAGAGGCCTTTCTCTTTGTTATCTGTATTTACAACCTATAAAATCTTTATTTTATTTATTTTTTTTTTTTTTCAAGCTCCATGTCTGGCTTCTACTGAATTTATCTTATGGACGCATTTAGAGATAAGCAAGTTGCAATTGTTGTTTTGTTAGCTATATAGGGTTTCTGGTAGCTTTGAGATATTTTATATTTCTTATTAACTAGTTTCTTTTAATTCATAGTATTTGATATTTTTATGCACAGACAATATGCTTGATGCACTTAAGTTATCTCTTCTATGTACTGTGTCCGTTCAGGGCATTGGTGATCATGACTCTCCACAATTTCTTGCTTTTTGTAGCGCTTAATTTTTTTTTTTTCTGTTACCTCCCCCTAAACTTTACTCCACCATCCATTTACTCAAGCTCTGTAGGTTGGTTATACGTCTTTTTTCCCTCTCTTCCTCTTGCCTTCAATCTATCCTATGAGCAAATTTATATCATAGCTGTTTATATAGACCAAGCTATACTCTCATTAGGTGAAAAAATTAAACACTAAATTTTGCAATATTTAATTTGTGCATAAATGTGAAGGTAGATTATATAGTGGTAAAATTGGTAGGCAACACTATCTTACCTCCATATACTGTTTTGTATGTGTATTTTTCCTCTGTTATTAACATTTACCGTTTTCCTAAACCAGTGTTTCTCAACCTTTTTAAGCAACAGCATATTTAGGAGCAAATGAAAATATCACTGCACACTTAGCAAAATTTTTAAAGGGTATACATTTAAACATTATGAAATAAAACCATAGATTTTAAAAAAATAAACACAAATATTGAACTACTCAACTATTTGTGCAGCTTATTTAGTGTGAAACCTATGCCTGGTGTTTTTTTTTTTTTTTTGTTTTTGTTTTTTTTTTGCGATTTCATCAATGTTTGGTTGAATGTGCAATAAGCAGAGCCTCATTTCTTTAGTTGAGAATAGTTTTTTGCTTCATATTTTTTATGTTATTTAGGGTCGAGAATCCTAATTCACATAAATAGTAAGTAGAAAATTGCAATAAAAAAGCCCTTTTATCTAATGTGTGATAAAAAAAAAATACCTATTTATTTATTCAAATACTAATGCTGTACCAGTACTATTTCCACAAATACATATATATATGTATGCCATGACAATATTTCGTGACACACTTAAGAGTATTACATGGCACACTAGTGTGTTGTGACATGATAGTTGAGAATCATTTCCCTAAACATTTGAGCCTTCAAAGATTTATTAAATACATCATACCTATGTTATTGCATGTAAACAACTCATACAGTCAAATTCTGAGATAAACAAGGAGTGAACTTTTAAAACTATTGATCTTTTATATGCTATGTACTTTCAGGCCATAAGCTATCATTACTTTCCACAATTTCATGTCTCTAGATAATTTTTTTACCCTTGACATCACTCTTTATCCTTATTCTGCCATCATTTCACACAATTTATTTGTTGTTTTTTTTCTGCTTTTCTTGCTTTTAACATATCCTTTAAGTGTTAAATTCTCTTGACCCTCTTTCCTCATTGTGTCCTTGAAATATCAAATCTCTTTCTAAGTCTGGTTTTCTTTGTTGTTCCTATTTTTCTTCAGAATTCCTCATTGCTTACATGTTTTGTCTATGATATTCTTAACATTTGTTGGCACATTTTCTATCTCTTCATCCTTTAGGAAATTGCCTAGCATTCACTGACATATAAAGAAATTAGATATCAACATTTTTTTATATTTGCATAGTACTTTGATTAGTATCTGGAACATTTTGTTCGCTATTACGTTGGATTTGTCACAGTTTCCATCATCTTTTACTACACTATGCACATAGTTAAATTTCAGTACCTGCTTGATTTTGAAATTTCCAGTGTGTAGCTCACACTTTGTGTTGCCTCTTTTTTTTATGACTATGAATTCTGTCTTCTTCCAGTTATGCAAGAGCTACTTTAGTTACATTTTTGATGTCATCTGCATATCTTGTTAAGATTGTCTGCCAATAATAAATCCTGGTTGGTCTGCTAGTTCTCTTGGGAACATCTCTCTATATAGTTTGAATAAATCCTGAGAGAAAATGCATCCTTATTTCCTCTTTATATTTTCTTGTATTCATTGGATTTCCTCTCATTTGCATCCAGGTTGTTTGTTCGAAGTTGAGACTAAGGAGTAAAATCCCTGATCAGCTTCTACAAAATATTTTAGAGGTATAAAATATTAGAAATAGGAGAGTGGGGAGGGGATAAAAAAAAAAAAAAGCAAACGTTATGCAATTTTCTTAACACCTCAATATTTAGTTATACATCTTCAAACATTGCCTTTTAAAGTACTGTGTAGATTATATATAACATTTCTAAGGAATTAATAGATTTTTTAAAAATTTATAATCTGACATTATTTCAGCATCTGTCTCTATTTCTGAGATGAGATGTTATGTACACTATTTACATTATTCAGACTATTGTCTCATCTTTGTCACCATGTTTATCACAATATTTCAGCCGTTCTATGCTCCGAACTTCTTCAGGTGGTTGGAATGTCGAACTGAACCCTTTATTTCTAAACTGTTCTAGTTCCATGTGCCATGTCTAATGGATGTCAGTTATCTTCTGTTAATTCTCCTCTGAAAGTTCTCCACTGCCTTAACCAGGTATTGAACTCATACTCTTTGGGTCCTGTCAAACATATTTACACTATTTGAATTAACAGGTATGTTTATTCACATGTCCACTAAATATAACACACACACATTTTATATATATATATATATATATATATATATATATATAGTTAATTTTCTTCAAGCCATTCATTCCTGTTGTTCACTGCTACTAGCAAGCAGAATTTTTTTTTCTCCTGATGATGGCCATGCTGGCTGAAACTAGTCAAGGAATCTAATGGAAATAATAAAACAAAAAAATAATATACAACCCAGTGTGTCTGAAAATTTTAATTTTTTAATTTCTCAATATTTTTTATTGTTCAAAACACATACATATATATATAATGCTTCTATAAATCAGCAAGTTCTAAACACAGGTAGACACCACTGAGGGTACAGAGCAAGAGGCCAAGAAATATCAGAGAGGACAAGGAGAAAATCATTGATACAAAATGAGTTTCTCTAGGTCCGCATAAAAAAAAAAGAGAGCATTTATTTCTGCTCTTATATCAAAACTGTTTACTCAGAGGGGCTGCAGTGGTATTCATCTGGACAATTCTGCTGGGTACTGGGCTGCAAAGACCTTCTCTGCATCCTTTACTCTTCACCACTTTAGGATACCCCTGCATAATACAGTCTGTGTTGTAAGGTACCTGCGATCTGCTCAAAAATGTTTTCACATACTTTTTCTTTTAATGACATTGTCAGTTCTCTCAAACATAACCTCAAGAGAGCTGAACCTCCTCTCTAATATAACAGATTATCTTTCTAATATGAAGGAAAAAACAAGCAGGAGAAAAAATATAAAAATAAATAAATAAAATAATCAAGTAATAACAGATTTTTTTTTCTTTTAATCATTTCATCTCGAGCATGGCTATGAAGCCACTAAGATGCAAGGATTAACTGAGAGTTAGAAAATAAGAATAAAAAATACTTAAGGAGAGAGAACAATAAAAGAAGATAACTATTGACATTGCATTTAAATTTTTAAAGATCAAAATTAACTGGAAAACAAGAAACTGGAAGAGAGTTGCACAAGTGAGAAGTGTGATAGCAGAAACTCTCAGCATAGAACTTACAGTTACATCCAGCCATTTCAACTGCAAAATGATGAGACCGTGTTGCCAATCTAGTACTGTGATTAAATTCATAAAGTCTTGATAACATAAAAGTTGAAGAGAATAATTACCATGAAAATATTTATAGAAAAGTCACAGGGAAGTCGATATTAACAGTGTTGGGGAAAATGACTGAAGCCAAGATAAAGGAAAAGGATAACATAAACTTAGTGGCAACAAATAAAACAAGTGCAAGTACCCATTGTTGGGGAATATGTGGCATAAAGGCTTTAATATAAACAAAAGTAAAGAACATAAAAAAAAGTAATTGATTTCCAAAAAGAAAATTTTGAATTTCATGTTCTAACAGGAGAATAAAATCAGCAAATTTTAACCCATTAATTCCCACTGTCTCGTTTTTGGGATGGTAGGCATTAATTTGTTATAAGTAGAAACAGATAATTAATACCAGATTTTATGGTAGGCATTAAAGGGTTAAAAACACCTGGCTGAGAAGTTTTTTTGTTTTTTTTTTTACATTTATCAATCATTTCTTCTAAAGGAAACCAAGTGGTAAGAGGAGAGTAGTAAGTTTGTTTTGTCCAATAATCATTTTAACTGTTAATGTGTCCCAATTTTCAAGCCCATATTGGTATTGTATATCTGACATGGTGATAAAGGGAATGTCACTGCAGTATGCACTTGGGGTAATGAATCAATAGTGAAGGTTAATAAAAGGAAATACCAGCTTGAAGAAAAATGACTTTGCACCTGTAAAAAGGGTTAGGATAAAGGACAAATGTTGTACTGGAAGAATGTATGGATGGATTTGTATCTCTTTTGTTCTGTTTGTGATTTGTTTTCTGGATTTGTCCATTCTCATGGATCTTACCACTAAGTGAACTCAAATTTCTATTTCATTTTGTTTTTCTAATTTGGGAATGAACTGTAAGTTGTTTGTGTCTTTAGATGTCATTTGGATGTTTCTGTTCTTTTCATAATTTTCTGAATATTTCTTTAAATGTGGAAAATAGTTTTTAATATTTATCATGCATGCCTAGTGAGACCACTCTGAATATAAAATGAAGAAAGATATCCAATAAAGGGGTTCCCTAAAAAATACAATACAACTTTTCAAACATTCTTTAGGGTAATGAATGAAGAATTCAAGGATTCTAGCAATTGTGAGTTTAATCCCTGGGCAAAGTAATACAGACTTGGACTCAGTGGAAACAGGATGAGCAATAACTGGGCAGTACTAAAAAGAACAAGACAAAATATCCCTACACATGGGCAGCAGAACAAGAACAATCTATCTCTAGATTGAATAAAGGGTTTGGTTCAAAATTTCCTGAAGATTACCCAAATTGTCAAGAAGTCCAAAGTGTGCAATGGCTGAAATATTGTTATAATGATAAGGATATTAATCCGAATGTATATGTGAATTCAGGTATATTTTAGTGAATGGATACAGAGACTATGAATGAATCAGTTGGAGCAAAGTGACTGCTGTTACCATTTTTGGACAATGCTTTATAACTGTAAATATATATGATAGATATCCAGCAGAGAGCAATTTCATGTTGCTTACCACATGAGTTAATAGGAACTCAGGGTTTCAAAAAAACAAACGTGTTACAACTGACAGCTTTTAAACTGGCACAAAAGGAAATACTTTTAGGACATTGCCAATCTGATTAGTTCAAACATCAGTTGAAACATAGGACAAAAGCTATACCATGAAAAGGATTTTAACAACATGGAAGCAATCTAAAACAGAAGCAAACCTGAGGGCGTAGCAAGACCAAGAAGTATGATTTGCTATACAAAGACCCTAATAATGCAGAAACACAATTTCCTTAAAAATTAAGCTTCCCACAATCCCAAAGGCTTCTGCTATTAATTGCTGACAATCACTATTTTGCTAATTTTTACAAAAATTAGTGAACAAGAATTTTGAGTTATTAAAGTTGAATCAAAAGAAAACAATGTGGTAAATTAATTTCCAACCTACAACCCCTTTTCCATAGATGAAACATTTCAAGCCTCTTGCTTCTTTATCGCTATTTCCATGGAAAGTGTTCAAATGAACTACATTCCTTAGTTCCACCAGTTCTAACCATCACACCTAAGACCCACCATGCCATATTTGCTTTGTATACTATTAGTGAGATGTAAGTTTCAATCGAGCATGAACTTCTCATGAACTGCAGCTTTGTGGAACTGACTCCCAAGAGGATGCTTCTCTGATTACTACAATTTTAACCTGTTCAAGTCTAGGGTTAACAGTTATCTCCCCCAAATATTCCCATAAACAGTGTCTCTTATTCTGTAACCCTCTACCTTGAGAGGCTCTTGGACCTTGTATAGGGTAAACATCATTGTAAAAAAAAAAAAAAAAGTTGGGGATGTCACAATTGATGAAAATTTAAATAATTCATACTGTTCTCAGTAACTAAGTTAAATCCAAATATTAAATATTTACTTAAATCAAAACACTTGTCACTACTTTTAACTCATCTAAAAGCAGTAGCAGCCAAAATGTTCACATATAAATCACAAGTTGTCCTCATTTGTTGAGGTAAAAGATTTAATTTTAATGCTGAGATATTTTCTTGTGCTTTATATAACTAATAAATAACTAACAAAATAGAAAATATACTAGTGAAAAGTATACAGCTGAAAAGGAAAGGAAAAACATTAAAATTTAGTTATTAGAAAGCTGTAAAAGTCAATGACAATTTCTTTAAATATTTTTACCATTCTCACTTGGGATTATGAATGTTGGATATTAGAGATTTTAGAAGCACTATTTTATCTAAAGATTTGGTTGAACACCATTGAAAATTTTTTTTTTTTTTGTGATGTGGACCATTTTTCTGGTTTTCAGTTAGAATTTTAACATAAATTATCCAATGTCTTCTGAACATTTTTAACTTTTTTGTGGGTTAATAGGGTTGCATTTATAGGAATGCTTTGTTTTTTTTTTTTTTGTTTTTTTTTTGTGGTATTATTTTCTTCTTCATATATCAGAATATTATTGATATTATTTTGTTTGTTCCTTATGGTTAAAGCTTCTAATATTTGTAATGCTTTTTATATTCTTTCTGTGGTATACTGTTTTTATTTGTTAGATTTCTTTTTTTCTTTTTTTTTCTTTTTTTGTTGATATGCAATTTAATT